GTCACACTAGCGTCTCAAGCCTGGCTTGACTCACCGCGGGTGAGATTTCAAGCCAGGCTAGAAATTCTGGGTCGGTCACACTAATTGGATTGGCCTCCCAAATATGAAAGTCGAAACAGCAGATCCGTAGAGAGAGAGTTTGGCCAACTCTGTTTCACTGGATTCAATATACGTGTGTGTGATTTGGTGGATCGCAATCAAAGATTTTACACCAGACGTACTCGAACCACTCTTCTTCAACTGATCTTTTATCAGCTTGTATTGGGCTCGCAATGCCTTCACTTTTGTTTGAATTTGGGCCGTTGTTCTCTTCTCATGTCCGAGACTGGCTAATCTCTCAGCAAGCATGCCAAAAATTCCCGTTTTGTTGTTTGTTTTTTCATTTTCTATCCGGTCTCTCAGCTCGGGTTGGCCCCACAAATCTACCAGGTCAGCAGTTTCCTGTTCGCTCCAAATCAATCTCATTATTAATTAAAAATTGAATTAACTTTTATGAAAAGTAATGTTTGCGTCTTGATTGAACACACATGAAGAACTCGCGGGTTTTTTTTATTCAAGAACTTCTAAACGCAATGGCGTCATCGACTGTGATTGGTCGACAGCCGATGAGGAAATGTCAATCTCGGTCACGCCAGGGTCAATATGGGTGCTGAGCCGGGATCGAGATAGGTAGATTGAGCCCGAGGTCACGCCAGGCGCGAGTCGGTGCAGATGCGGTCACATTACGAAAATCTCACCCGCGGTGAGTCAAGCCAGGCTTGAAACTCTAGTGTGACCGTTATGAAGTCGTTAAAAAGTATTATTCAGCTGTAGGCACTAGGCCCAAGGATATGCCAAACAGTGAACTAAATCACTCTTCAAAGTGGCAATCCCATCACAAGACAACAGTGGCCGTATGGGCCAGTACACCGGGGTAAAACCCCTACTCATCTCGAAAGATGTACTGGGTTCTTTTAAGTGCACATGAGCCAATTGTGTACGCTGGGCCTGTGTTTCCTTATCCACAAAGACTTGTTCCACCTCCAGAACCATAGGCAAGCATGGCGTACAAACCAGCACCGATATTATGGCTCTAGGTTTCGGCACTCCTTGCCTTAACCGCTCGGTCATTCGACTTGCTATAACTGTTTTTAAGAACTTTTTTTGAGAAGTCAGCCTTCAAAGTTTATAATTTCAGGCATTTTCTCTGGCAGAGACCATCACAAAATTGTTGAAAAATGTTGTTTTAGCATCGACAATGGGGAAAATAACATAGCATAATGTATAGTTATATAAAGGTTAGTTTAGTGCAATAAAATAAATTTTGCCTCATCGTCATCACATATATAATACTTTAATATGTAATACACCTCCTTGTAGATACATAATAGAAATTGAAGATATGCTATTTGTGTTGAGTTGAGTTTGTATTTTTGTTTTTAAACTGCTTACTTTATTACCCTTCAATTAAAAATTATAGCAAGAATACATTTCTACCTATTAACACAGGCAAAGATTATACTTTTCATATACAATATTGGTATAAACAAGTTTCTGTATTTCAGTACAGCCTTTCTTAATTTCTGCCACTGTTTTTTTTTTTTTTTTTTTTTAAATCCCATATCTAATCGGAAGTTATAAATTCTTATCTTTTTATAATGAAAACTAATTCAATGTTCATATGATTTATAACACAAGTAATACTGGTCCTATATTATATGGACATTTTCTCTCGTACTGTTAATCTTCTAAACATCTGTAAAATCAATGAAAACTGATTTCTTTAAAATGAAAACTTTAGTGTTAATTTGATTTTTAAGTTGTTTTTTCCTCAGATTCTGTATGAACAATACATAATAGAAAAGATATAATACTATTCATTGTATATAAAAGGTATAATAATGCTATCAATGAACAATATATGTTTATATATAAAAGGTATAAAATCACTATATAATCTTTTATGTCTCTAGTCAGGCAGGATACAAATGCTATTTTTGGAATGTTAATTGAATAAAAAAATTTCCAAATTTTATCTACCACCTAAGAAAACCAATAAAACTACACAGGAAATTAAGAATTGAGTATTCAAACATGCTTTTTTTAATGATTTGGGTTTATAAGCTTATAAGTTATAATCACGAGGTTTGAAATTGGTTGGAGATCCTGGAAACACGATCTTTTTGAAATCGTATAGCATAAACCAGCTCTTATTGAACCTAGACAGTGGTGTTTATTTTAGCTTAGTGCACTTCCGTTTAGTGGTTTACGTGAGGCTTCCACTGTAGCTGCTCAGCTTGCCAGACAGCTGGACTGACCTAATACAATACCATTAATTATCGTCATCATCATGTTAATTTATTAGGCTGGCTAACATACACGATCATCATTTTTAGTCAATTTATTGATTAATCGTGAAACATTTACAGTTGAATTGTTTTAAGAAATATCAACAATAAAATGAATGGTTTAAGATTAATAGCATTCAAAAACTTAATTTCATTTTTTGAGTTGTTTATCTTAATATTAAATCTGATCTCTCCATTCTACACTGCTATATATTTTTATATATAATATGTATTTACTAATATTGTCATAGATTTCACTGTAATGGTAATTATATACATTGCCATTTTCTAATACTATTAAAACAGGTATGTTTGTGGGGAAAAAATATGTACATTATACAGTATGTAATTTAACATGAAATCCTTCATATCTTTTGCTGGTTCCCATAGTCTAAATGGAATCTCCCAAATCATATATTATCATTTACTTTATAATTTTATACTTTTGAAATACCTATGTTACATAATTCATTTGTGTAAAACAAATGGTTATTTTGTGTTTTTTTTTGTTTTTCACAGTAAAAAATGATGAATAAATTGTAATTATTAATAATAATCAATCATAATAGTATTAATAATGGAAACCTCATTGTATCTTATGAAATAGAGGCTCAGAGTATGAACAAAAATCAACGTACATATAAAAATATATAAAATATACACATATTTTAAACCTTAAAGGAAGTGCAGTCAGTATCGTTGGTTTAGAATTGTTTTCCTTATTTTCTATTGCTTGCAGGTGGTCATATGAAAACATTAGCAGAAGCAGATGAGGAGTCGTTACAAGCGAAATGGTGCAGCCTAGAGGAAATCAAATCACATGAAATGTTCACATTAAGGTAAAGAACAATTGTGAAACTCTAAATACCAGGTCATAATGTATTTGAGTCATAATTATTTAGTTCTGTATGATTTATTGATCAATATTTAGCCAATTCCAACGATGGGAAGCATGAGATATTCATATATTTTTTTGTTATAAATGCGGGCTCAACCTAAAATATCATGTGACAATGTGGCACTGTTATTAATGTTTTTCATCTTTATACTCATTCCATGACTCATTTTCAATCATGCCATTGTGTTTATTGACAATCTGTTTGTCGCCCTCTTTTTTTAGGGGAGAAGACATTGTGCCCATTATCTCCACCGCTTTTCAATTTTTCAACAATTCACCTGCCACTAGACATGCACCTATCCTGCCTACTCAACATCCACATAAGCATATGTGTATGAGGATAGTATTGATCAAACAAAGACAGTGAGTTGAGAAATTATGCTGTCTCATTGGACGCCATCATGCTACATATTTATACTGTATTAGGCACATAAAGAAAATCATTAGTATACTAATTTAACACTTTTGAAAAGGTGATGTGGGTGGGTGGTATTTTACTATTTATATTTCAGACGTGCTTAATAAAAAAGCATATTGGACATAAAATTAAGTCTTATCAGATATCCCCCCCCCCCCTTTGGAAAGTAACAAAAAAAAGAAATAAATAAAAAACTAATTTTGTGTCTTTGAAAGTATTTGATGTTTTTTTTTTGTTTTCTTGAATTTTTGTACTACAATAATTTCGGACTTTTTCTGCTTTTTGTATTTTAATAAATGAAAAAAAAAATTATTGATCACCCAAAACGGCTAAGAGGTAGTTTCCGTTCGATCAGAAAACAAACATTTTGCAAGGAAGTTCCCTGAACCCCTTAGGGTAATGTTGTTGATGTCAGATATCTCTGGATCCACCCCTGCCATAAGCCTTTTTAAGAACTCATATTTATAGAACAACATTTCATCCTGTAATTGGCAAGATTATTTTCTATTTGATGGGAAATAAATAAAATAATTAAAAAAATAAGAAAATAATTAATAAAATGTGTTATTTTCAGGAATAACTTAGAAGTACTTGTCTGTACAGAAGATGTCCCACATTTGCCTGTCATCAAAGACTCTGTAATGTACAATGATTCAATCTGGAGGCTTGACAAGGTTAGTATTTACAAAGGGTATTCAGGTGTTTGTGTTTTTTATTCCATCATACATGGAAATGTAAATTAAAAAAATCACATAGTATTATGAATGTTTTCAAGTAGGTCTGTGTGCAGCTGTAACAAAGTATTTTATTAGTAATCTATAGTTGCATGGCACCCATAAGGCATTAACCCCTGTAGTCCCCTGGAGGCTCTGCCTGTAGTAGTGACTAAACCTGTGACTATTCTTCATGTACTTTATGTTCATTATAGTCATTAACCCATGTCCCCATGTGTATGTACCTGTGTTTAGTTTGGTGATTACTTCGAGTACTGATTTTAGAGACAATTACTCCAGACTGGTGTGCTCCTCAACATTGTTTTATATTAAAGTATATCTGTGACTATTTTGCTTATTACTTTGCCTTGCCATAAACTTAAACAACTCTGCTCAAAGATGGTGCACTTGCACTAAAGGCATTCACCCCTCTAGCTCCCTAGAGCCTACCTGTAGTAGTAACTAAATCTAAATCTGTGACTGCTGAATCTATATTCCTGGAGTCATCAACCTACGTTTCCTGTCCGCATGTGTATGTGTACCTGTGTTTAGTTAGTAAATCAGTTCGAGTATTGATTTTAGAGACAATTAATTTAGTCATAATTTGTGAACTCCTCAACATTGTTTTATGTCCAAGTTTATTTGTGACTATTTTACTTTTGTCAACTGAGACCTTATTACATAGCCTTGGCTCTTGACATGTTACCATCACAGCAGTACATTGTACCAATCATAGAAGCTCTAATTAGCAATGCTATTGCATAACTGCCTCTCTTAAATTAGCTTTGCACTGAAGGCTTAAAAAATTGTATAAGCATCGCAGTTCAGTGCTTATTTGGTCATTAAGTTGTTTTATTTCTTGTAAGATGTTGAATAGCTTTTTTGTTTGTTTTTTTGGTGTGAAACACACCGAGTATACTCTACGATTGTCCGAAGAATTACATCCAGTGGGGCACTTCTGATGGTGAATTGGGCAGTAACATCTGGAGACAATCCCTAGCTCTTTTTCAAAGAAGTGTACTGCGATCTTTAACATGCGCATAGGCCATAATTCACATAGCACTATAAACTTAAATATCTCTTCTCAAAGATGGCGCACTATATGGAATACTTGCATTCTAGCCCTTTAACTGAAACACAAGGAGTGCGATGATTAAGCCAGTGACCAGGGCTGTGTAAAGACCTCCATGGTTCAATATACAGTGCTTACCGCCCATTTTAAGCAAACCGAGCTAAGCTGCTTACACAAAATAACCTGCCTGTGCACCAAAAGTAAACCACTTTTTTTCTTTTTCTTCTCAGGATGCATTCAAATCTAGTAACATTTACCTTTCCTGTGGTGTAATTGCCGTTGAGCACTGCGGACGACCACATGGTGTGGCTGATGGCGTGTGCATCAACTTTCTTGTGACTACGGACACCAATCGTGAGCTTGTTAACAAGAAGTACTCGTGGTTCCCAATTTGTAACCCGGAGCTGGATATGCTTTTGAGACAAAGACTTTGTAAGACCATGAACGTACCGTATGTCTGTCATTCGTGAGGGCGCTGTTCAAGTCTAGTAACGTACATGTCTTCGGCTGAGAGATGCTTGTTATATTCTGGGCGGTGTACAATGTGTAATTGTGCAATTATGTTTTTTAATTTTCATTGGATCGTTTTCAGGATTTCAAGGTTAAAGGTGCCATCAGTATATGTGAAACTTATAAAGATGATACACACATGCTCATTTAATCTGTGCACAAGTTAAAATGATGCATATGGTCATGGTGAGTCCAATATCATCCTTTTAAACCTGATGAAAATATTAACAACCTGAGCTGTAAATGCTGTGGTTGGCTGATGCCTTGCATAGCCTCAAGAGATATGGACATGTGTAACTGTGAATATATAATAAGCTGTGGAATACAGTACCATTATAAGATGAAATAATGTCTTTATTAACAAAAAATAACTGGTAATTAATGTTAATTCAATGCCAATACTAATTGAATGTAAAGAGGAATCCTCAGTTAATATAGTCACTTGGTTTAATGATTACCTTAAAAGTTCACTGAACTATTTAAATACCAAAATAGTCGCTGATGTTGTCTTATTATGATATCCAAGGGCCAACTCAGACAGTGTTGTACTACGGAATCCGACGTCGAGTCTGTGCGAGTTAAACACAGATGCGATAGGTCTGCATCAAAGAAATATAGTAATGAACTATAATGTAACAGGAATACTCAATATAAAGACCAAAATAGGAAAAAAACATGTGGGACAGGGAATATGTTTGGTATGAAAATATTTTTCAATTAGTTTGTGTAACTGTAAGTAAGGCAAACTTTCACTTATTAATATTAATAGAACATTACACTTAAATACAGTACAGTATGAGGCTGGAGTGATTTTCCATAGAATACCTGTTATATGTGTGATGAACAGGGTTTAACTTGAAGATGAGGGTTTAGATTGTCTAGTACTGTAGTCTTAGGGTAGAAAATGCTGAGCTATATAGAACGAATACATTAGATTTTCAGGTAAATTTGTGAGCAAGTAAAACCATTGTTTGCTGTTGAAGAGACCCACCTCTGATGGATTCTGGATTTCGTAAGCAAGAGTCACAATATATTTCCTAGTTACTCTGGGTGAACTATTACTCTTTGTAGCTTGAGTAGGCATAGTAGTATCTAAGATGTCTTATTGTTGTGTTATTGACATGCTTTGCTGTAAAACGAATGCGGATTGATGATGTTGTATGAGAAAGTTGATCACAAGTGACCTTTCCGCAATGTCTATCCAAACTAACTGACCAATCAGAACAAGAATAGGAATACTGTAGTCTGTCCCACATACATGTGTTTAGTATGTTTATGCTATCGGTTAGCGTGACCTTAGTAACAATATACAATATGCGGGGCTGAGTAGAATGGTCCCAGAGCTTTTGATTTACCATCTATTTCTATGGTCATGCATTTTGTATCGCACCTTTTCCTGTAGGATACAAGGCGCCCAGAATCCAAGATAAACCAAAAACAATAAAGCCAATAATAATGGTTGTGTTAAATAGGGAGCTATTTGGCCAAATCTATGTGTGCAGAAGACATACGACGGTCATGCATGGGTGAATCCTTTCTAGAGTCGCGTTGTTGCGTGCAAATCGAAAGCTCCCTAGAATAGCAATTCTGCTGTACCATGATGTGTATGCTGTTAGCTGTATTGTGTATGTAACAAGTATAAAGGTTATGGTTAGTAGGTAAATTAATAGGCTGAATATTATATAGAAGCTGCACTTGTTATGATATATGTTCCTTTATTTTTTAATCTTTTCCTTTTAAAATATATATCAGAAAAATTGTGTTACCCTTTTTATAGATGTCAATGTGCAATATATATTTTTTTTGTTTCTAATTGAAAAAGAAAAAGATTTGATATCAAAAGATAACATATCAAAATTTAAAAACAAACATATAGGGAACTAGAAAGAAAGTTTAACAATTTCAAAAACATTTGTGGACTTTTTTCTGAGTGTTAATTTCAAAAAGGATGATAATTTATCAAATACAATTTGAAAATTGATGTAGGCAGTCTAGGAAGATATATGTGTTCACTTTTCAATCTAGACAAGATTTTTTTTTTTCATTTCATGTATCCAAAGTTATTTCTACTAATTATTTTATATCCATTTCCATTTTTAAACTTTAAAAATATTATATTTTCTATAATATAAAATGTTGAAAAAGTCCGTCAGTTGGAATATTAAGAAAAACATATTGGTTTATATATTTTATTTAGTAATACTAGCATTTGGCAATCATGTCGTGTTGTGTTATAATAGTAAACCAGAGGCAATGGTGTTAGTGTATAGTTGTAACTGTAGAAAAAGGCAACTGTGTATTTTTGTATTAGATTTTTTTTTATATTTGTGAACTACCGATGTTATTTGATGTTGTCTCATATTATTAGTCATAAACTCCAGTGACCCCAACAGGTTCACTGTTTAAATAACCAAAAAATTTTTCTAGTATTCCTAAAACTGGTCCCTGTTACAATATGTTTATAGTGTTATCTAAATACATAACTGGTAAATGATGTTTTGTTAAATATTTAGCCTTTAAAAAGTAAACATTTTGTGTAAGTATAAGAAAAATATGTCAATATTTTCCTTTTTAAAATACATTTGGAATTCATTGCGACACTCCTGGTTATTATCTGGTTGTTGGAATAAGAATATATTATGTCTTGGATGTTTTTTTTGTAGTAATGTTTTATATTGTCATTTTTTTTTAATTGTATAATTTCTTTTCTGGTGAAAACTACCAAGATTAGTTGAAAAGTAAAATACTGGTCTGCTATGGGTAATAGGAGGTTTATACATAGAATTTATCTAGATATGTCTTGTATTGCTTTGTTTTCAGGTGAATACTTACTGTGTAAGTTGCATCATCATGATCGTAATTATCTTCAGCATCTATATTTCCACCACTGATAGTTATTAATGTTATTATCATCTTAATGTTCATCATTTCCATCATTATCATTGTCATCACCACCACTTAATAATCAGTTATTATGAATTATTCATGATCGTCATTGTAGCTTAATCGTCATCATCACTGTCATCACTGTGATTAGTTATCATTATCTTCATAATCATCATCAGCAACCTCATCATCATTATCATCTTCACTGTTATCTTTACCCATCACTATCATCATTATCATCATCACCATCATCATATCATCACCAACATCATTTTTATCATCACCACAATCGTTATCACTGTCATGTTCTTGCCATTCTTTGTGAAAATAGTTATTTTTACCATCTTTTTCTGTATTTAGTTGTTATGATTGTGTAGACAGTATCAAACTGGAAAAATTGGTGTTTTCTTTTGCTTTTATCTTCTCAAAAAAACGTTTTCTATTTTCTACAAACCCAGCCAATACCTTTATTAGGTAGCTAAAAAGTACTATGGTAGTATTTGTCAGAAAGAATGATAATTTTCCGTTCTCAGAATTAGTGTACTGTACTAATATTGCAATATTTTTTAAATATAAACTTTTTGTTCTTTTGCTTTTCTTTTATGTTTTCATTGATTTCTTTGGGCATTTGCATCTAGCAAGGTGTTTGTCTTGTCTGCATGATGATGGTTTTTGTAGATTTAGGGAATGTTTGCTCAAATGTTTATTTGGTCTTCCTTAAAAAAAAAGAATTTGAAACCAAAGTGTACTTCGACCTGATAAACTACAAAAAAAGAATTGATACTTTTTAATTTATTTTTTATTGTTTTTCAATGTTTTTCCACAGGGAGAGTAGTTTGTCTTGTGTTTACTGTATATAGTATAGTTAGCCTAAGTACCAGACAGAAATTTGGTTTGTAAAGTATTTAATGCGCTTAGTGCGTGTCATATCAAAATTAAGTTGACGTCCCATAATGCTACTTTTTAAATCGGTTATTGGTGGCGCTGTCCTGAAATTGATAAAGTACTGGCAGTAAGTACTGTACTGTAATAACAAGACTTGTGACTAGTCTATAGTTTTTTTCGGTGTGCACATTGCCATTGCAGATAACATATTAAACATTATTATGAGCATAAATAAATTGATGAAATAGAAACAAATGTCAGATAGCTTTGTTCCTTGTCGTAATTTTGTGTCTACCTATTTGGTAAATTACTTAGTTTGTAACGGCACAGAATGCTACGAATATAATAGTAAACAAAAAAAAAAAATACCTCTCTTATTATAGATAGCCCTACTCCTCCTATAATTTTGGAGTCCTTATCACCCTGGTTCTTAATAGGCCAACCGCGGGCCAAATTTGGCCCGGAGGCAATTTAATTTGGCCCGTGAGGAAAAACAAAAAAATAATAAATATTTAAAACATTAAAAGTTCGATTAATACATTTTCAATAAAGTAAAAACAAAAATGCAACCGGCCTGCGTGGTGTGCACGAGGATGGTTTAAAAATGCAATGATAGTATACAGGGGGAAGATCCCATTGGAAAGTAAAAAAGAAAGAAAAGGAAAAAATTATGACCCAAAACGCCTCAAAGTTTATTTTCGAACGTCTATAAGAAAACACAATTTTCGCGGGGGCATGCCCCGGACCCCCTAGGATGGTGTTATCCCGATCGGCCCCACTTTCGGCCCTTTTGTCGACCCTTCCTTGCGGACATCTCTGGATCCAACCTTGGTATAGGCCATAAATCGAATAAAAAGCGCCAAATCGATCACTACTGGGTACAGCCCTATTTTTAATTGTGTACAAACAAGCAAGCGTCATGATGTTACCCCACTCAAATCTAAAATTAAACCATGTAAACAGAACTATAAAGAAACTTCCATGATTGGAATATATATATAGGCCTACTGTATTTATTTGACAGCAGCTCAGCTCAGGGGAAGTAACAACTTTATAATCGCCATACACATTTTAACATGTTTATATTGTAATAATTGCAGAATCCCGATGCATGATATGAGACCCATGGTAGAAGAAGCCCATTAAAGCCCGTTAAGTCATATAGGTAAACATAACTAAATTATATGTCATTTTGCAATATACGGTACATCTACTGGGCTTTATCGTATAAGACATTCTTATTTGGGGGTTGTTGAAAATTATATAAATAAGCTACAAAAGGTTATATTTCGCATACTTGAGCGAGATGTTGCAGGTTCGAATCCCGTCAGAGACTTTTCTCATCAACTGAATAACGGAACTTTTCGTTGAAATGCTATGTT